CACTAACCTAAACATCTCTGCCCCTTCAAGCAAACCATTTATCTGTCCACACTGACTTATGGAACAAATTAGATCTTGGCAGAACTAATATGTATGCTTGGCAAAAGATGCACATGCCACTTATTGATGATTTTTATGTATAAAAAATGTGGCCTTAAGCTCTCTTTGTTGAGCATACAGTACAATGAATCTTTTCTTCTATCTGCTCTCATTCATTCAAACAAGTAATGCTACTCCATTTGTCAGGCAGACCTACTTTTTCCTTTTCTCTTATCCATAACTCAGCCCAAACCACCACATGCTAGCCTTCACAGTCACACTTCATGCTACAATGAATAAAGATGGTAAGCTGCTCAAACTGCAGAGTAAAATAGAGAAACTTAAGCAAAAACTTCAAGAGTGAGTCTATATTTTACTTTTGAGATCTTATATGTTTTTATTGACCTAACCTCAAACACACAGGACAATGAAGATTTAGCCAATTTGTGCAAAAGCATTTACCTTAAGACCAACAAACATGGCTGAAGATCACCCTGTAGCCCCTCTCTGCAAAGCTTCATTACTATTGGCCAGAAAATCAATAAAAGGCTCAAGCCGAGCTCTAATTGGCTCCTGCTGACTGCAGTGGGGCACACTCTGGTGCAAACACATGTGCACAGAATTAGACCCAAATCTCTTATGGGAATAGCAGGTACACTTCAGATCAATTCTAATTTTATCTGATTTATTCACTCTAGCTGAGTTCACTGTATCGTGCTATGAGCTTCTCAAAAGTGACACATACGTAGATGAGTGAGGAACAAAAAGTGACACTTAAAGTTATATTTGCAACTTTATGGACAAAACTGCATGGTGAATTAAGATCATATATCATTATTTCATATCATTATTTATCATTATTATACCATTATCATTGTTTGTTATAACACAACTGTACAACATGTATGCTAATGTTTTTTATAGTTGTAAGTCCTCAATGTTCAGGTGGGGTCTATAGCAAATAAAGGTTGAAATCTGTCATCTCGACAAACATTTTTTTTAGTGATGAGTGAAGAAGCTACTTGAATGAGTGGTTAAAATAACTACTTTTGTCCCATAGTAAGATTTCAAAATTTTTGTTTGCTTGGTTCTTAAACCATATGGCGATGGGTTGGAAAGGCTTGGTGGGCAGCAAACAAACTTTAAAATACAAAATTTCCAGTGTTTGTCCAAACTACACCAATACAGCAAGCTACATAGGCAACTATGAAAATCTAGCACAAAAGCACCCATTGGATTAAAAAAAAAATAATTTTATATGTTTATGTAGTTTAAACTGCAACTTGACATTTCAAGCCTGATGCCTGTTTTCCAAACACTATTCTGCATACAGAAGTAAACAGCAGAATGAGTACATGTTTTGTATTTTTTGATGACATTTGTTCTCGTATCCCACATTCGTGGCAACATTGACAGCATTACACTATTTCAGCCTGAAGCCATGGAGGAACAGAGAGGCTGCTGCATGCCCATAACAGACTCATTTAGAAACTAGACACAGACACACACAGCCCGCTCATGACATGGGCACAAACAGCTTGTGGCCTGCAGAGCCATCCTAGTTGCTATTAAAAATTGATTAGCTGTCATAGTATCATTCTCCTCCCCAAGGTCAAGTCCCAATCGGGGTGTGCATGTGAAAAATGCTTGGCAGGAGATGAAAAGGCTGAGAAGTCCAAAGTCCTTTACTGTCATTCACAAAAGAGAAGAAGAATGGAACAATACAATAAGAAACATCCATGATCTTGATACGAGCTGTGGTAAGGAAAAAGGTTCAGTAATTATTATACAGTAAGATGACTTTAATTGTAATTGGAAACATTTTAGATACCACAACCTCCATCAGTTAATTTGTCTTTACACAATTAATCACCTCATTTTTGTTGAGGTTATGTCAAGGCTAGCTCTCAAAACTAGCTCTGAAAAGAATCTTATGTGGAAAGAGAAATTTTTCATTTATTTAAAATGTTATTACTATACATATTTTTAAATTTTTATGATCACAAAATGTATTATTCTCTGGATGTGACTGTGGTGTAGAGGGTTTAGTTTTTGCCAATCATCAACTTGGCCCATTTTCAACCCTGATCAAGTCCCACTGGATTGATTTCATTGACTTTCATGAACCTTTTAATTTTTATGATATTTGAACCATATTATTATTCTGTTTCCTCATCATTAGTTTATTCAGAATTGTATTTGATTGATACATACATCTGTGAGTAATCTTGTATTGTTCTGAAGGCTTAAGTGCTCAGAAAATGTCTGTTTTCACCTACCCCCAATCTCTACCCATTGCTTCTGCAGTTTTGAACCTGTCAGTAGACCTGGTTCTATTATTTAGCCATTTTAGATCAATATTGCAGTTTATAATGAACAAAATCTAAAATAATGAACTACATACATTATAATTTATATTTTATATTACTTATGTTAAGTCTTAGGAAATAACTGAATACATATACTGAGAATAATATGGTGCATAACTTGGTGTAAAAATATTCAGAATACAGTACTTTGATTGGTCCAATACATTTTAATGCAGGTTTTCAGTATTCTGTAACTCAATACATTTTCGAAATATTATTGTCTGATTATGCTAAAAGAAGTGCTACAACCTGCTACAATGGATCTTGATTCTTTCCTGGAAAGCTTAAGGTATATTGTGCACTGTCCCTGTCTCATTAAATAAACTAACTAAACTCATTTAATACTAAATACCTTGTAAAGTTTATTGTCTGTGGAACATAGTGATGTCCAGAGTCTAATTTCCCTGACTGATACGCACTGACTTCTTGCCATCAGTGAAGTGGCTGGTGGCTCCACAGTGGCTGATGTGATTAAAGACAGAAGGGGCCTGTCAACATCTGACAAGTGCAGGAATAACTTGGGGCAATCTAAGGTACACATATCAAGCAGACTGATCCTTGCAGGGATTTATATTTATTTTAAAGTCCCTCCTCACAAACAGCAGCCCATTTGACCTGTACCGGCTGATTTCCCCTGGCTTTAAAAAGTGACATCTCAATCTGTTTTGTGTCATATTAACACCGCTAAGCCTGTGTACTTTACAGGATGTATTGTAGATGGACCAGGGGCTTTGTCACTTCACATATGTCACGCTTTGCAATAATCCATTGAATTTGTCTGCATGGTACACTACAGTATGGAGCTGGAGAGTGTGCAAATGGCATTTCTGTGGGGAGCCGACCCCCACTGCAGGTGACATTTTTACTGGAGAAATGTCACCACAGCCATTTGTGTGGCTGTGTACATGCGCCACTGACTGGATTGTGTGTTTTATTGTATGCAAATTTGAGTCTGTGTGCTGTTGACGTGCGCAGAGTGTAATAAAATGCAAATGGTAAAATAACATTTTTACTAGACACTTTGAGGAGTAGGTGATGAATGTTATTCAAATCATTTTCAAAGATATTGCAAGTGTACAAGATTTGAACAGGGTGTTATTATAAAATGGAGCGGATCAACAAAACCAGTCCTAATTTATGCTTGGTAGGACTGGTTTGAGAATGGGTGATAAGAAGAGATTTGAGTCCAATAGCAGGCCAAAATCTACTTTGAAAATGATGCCACCGAATAATTGCCAGAACTACTTGAAAAATGTTGCCTTGTTAAGTCCAGTGTTGAGTGCACAATAACAGATGGTATTCCATGTTTATTCTCCATATTTTATGCATTTTCTATCAGCAGCAAGACAAATACAGCGAGACTTGGGGAGGCTCTCAGTCAAAGCGCGGAGGAGGGGGGCACTGAAAACTCATTACATGGACGATCAATATTGCACACACTTGAGGAGCCTGAACCCCCCCACGTGCCCAACACACATACCCACACATTTCATCAACCACTGGCAACGGTGACAAATGACTTCTGTCAGGCTGAAACGCGTTACCCTGGCAACCATTTGGCTAAATTTCGGTATGGCAGGTAGGTGTCGGGGGCATTCTCACACTCAGATAAATCGGCCAAGGTCATGATGAATATATTTCAGCCGACTGTATTGAAGCCCCCCTTTATGTCTGTGTCACTTTAAGATAACCGATCGCCTCACCTCTCCTCACACTTACAAACCAAGAGAGTGGCAGAAAATTTAAATGTATTAACAGACAGATGCATTGAGCTGTTATGGATCAATACTATCATTCATGGATGTGTCCACACTGTGCATTAATCTAATCACTCAACCCAATATTTACCCAATCCTGTTTTTGTTCAATGCTTTTTAGACTTCAGCTGCTCCAGAGGGAAATTTCTAGCTCATTAACAGAAAAATGAGTTGCAATTTTCAAAACTGTCTCTTGAATTTACCATTTATACAAACAGCAGAAGCAAATAATTCAAGATACTCAGAGCCAGTCACGCATAGAAACCAATACGTCTTTGTGTAAGAAAAAACGGCACAGACAAAAAATTCCTAAATAACTAAAATGGATTTTTCAAATTATTTATTGGCAATATTTTGAGTAGGAAGGCTGTAGATTTGTTTGAAAATGCACTCATTATTTACAACAGCAGCAACTTGCACTACATCAAAGGTGCCTATAACTTTTCTGGTAGAGGGTCCAGCACCTGCACCTGCTTGAGTCCAGGAAGATTAGCAATTTGCCTGCAATGTTCCTTATAGCATTAAACTTACCTTGTATTTATTTGCAGGTGTAAGAAAAACCTTGAAAAATATGCACTTTTACTGTGGCTTGCTACTGATCTGACCTGTAACTTGGCCTGATGATGTCACCTGTCTCCATGGACATATAAAGCAATAACATCTTCATTAAGACAAGCAGGTGGCCTACACTGTATAAGAAAAGCTACACAGTGGACCTTTACCATTGTTTTATTTTTAAACTTTATGGATGTCATTCAACAATATGATGAAACAATTTTGAAATAGCACATTTTGTCATGTAAGCCTATAGGAAGGTTAGTGAGCCATGAATTACCTTGCCAAGCCCAGGGGTGTCTTTGATCTTGTTGGCGGCACGGAGCAGGCAGGGTGGGGCAGGCGGAGGTGCCATGAGTAAGGCTGAGCTAAAATTAGTCGGGAAAATGTGTGGGTCACATGATGCTATTGATGTCACAGGGGCTGATGCAGCCGTGCTCTTCTGCTTCTTTTTCTTGGATGTGAGGTTCAACTTTTGGGCCGCTCTGAAACCAAATGAGAAGATCAAGAAGTCAGTGATTGTTTGTGGATTTGTGTGAGCATTTTTAATGAAACATAGGACTGAATGTATATATAGTACACATGAAGGAATAATTATTCTTGTAGATTATTCTATTGAGCTAATTGGAGTTCCAATCACACTTCTGTTTACAGATGTAGAAACATCTGGATTGGTGTGGCTCATTTAGCAGCATGTAGTACAAATATTAACAAATTACTAAAACAGCAATTATTTGGGGAACAATCCTATTAGATCCTTTTTACATAAACACACCAACACCATAGTTACATTCATTATTAGTTTGTCCCTTCTTTGAAACTACAACCTGATGTGTTAACAATTCTGTTATCAGGGCATGTAACCCATATCAATACAATTTTATTTGTCAACACCAACCATAAAACCAACCATTTAATGTAGTTCAGTTTACTCACAATCTGGCCCATAAGATGTAAGATGGTAAGAGAAATTGCACATATAAAAGGGGCAAAACACAAACAGGCATAATAAAAATAATGGACCACATGGCAGACTCACTAACAGTATAATAAAACAAACTGCTTCTACCCCATCCACTCTCACATATATTTATACAACATTTGGAGGAAAGAAGAAAAGAGGAAAGACCTCACAACCCCACAGTCTCTCTGTCAAAGAGGCATATTCTCACACCATTGGCTTTCAATTAACTGCAGCAGGTTACAGTAATGGGAGTATAGAGGGGTTGGGGTAGTTGTGAAGAAAGAGGAGACAGAGATGTGGAGTCAGTGACCCGTTGAACGATGAAGCACTGCGCTGTGTGAGAGAGGGTCTCCCTGGAGATTTGAGTTGGGGTTTCCTCCTGTGGTCCCCGCGGGGGGCAAGTGTCTGGAGTGGTCTACACTACAACATTAATTGCTTCCTCACAGTACCTAGGACTAAGCTGAAAATTGTGCAACTGATGCGATAAAAAAGCCATTACACAGTTTGCTATTTAAATGAAATATTCCATTAGATAATGAGAATGCTACCTTTTAGCCTATAACTCCAAATATAAAAGCAGAGTTCAGTGATTTGCTGGACGCATACCCCATAATAAAAAATTAAGGATGCCTCAAATGGTGTCCATAAAAAATACATAAATTCATCAGACCAGGACTTGGGACTAACAACAAATTGATTCCAAGTAATGACAAGCTAAGACAATTCAAAACAAAATATTAGATCATTTGAAAGGTGCAAAGTCCTCAAAATGGCGTCCATTATCCTTAATGTCATGTGACTGAAACCCATATTGACCTATGCTTTGGTAAAAAAAACAGAAGCACCATTGAAGAAACCCTCTTTTTCTCACACTAAAAATCTTGACATAATTGCACCATTCTATCACAGTGTTTTCCACAACTGCCCACTCTCCTTCAATAAAACCTCATCCGTATTTGTTGTAATGGCCCCTTATTCTCAATGCTGCCTCCTTTCTCTTAATGCTCCTCGGGCTGACTGGTTTAATCTATGGCACTGTTGAAGCGTACACCACATACACATACACATACACATACACACTCACTCTCTCTTTCGCTCTGCCTCAGTAATTGGTGATGTTTAATGACAAGTGGCCAGGGATTTGGGATGAGTGGATCTATTGCAATCTCACCCTAAAGTGGAGGACCCTTGTTTTCCATTCATCACCTCCCTCTCAATCTCTCCTTCCTCTGTCATCCCATCTTCTCCTTTTGCCCTGTGTCTGTGTCAGTCACCATCATCATCGACCACTTTACTGCTAATGTTTATCTTTTCTAATACAACAACATGCCCTTTTGGTGTTACCTATTCCCATATATTATTCTCTCATTATTTCCCATCTATCCAATAGAGTCCTTCATGCCCTCCACATATCCACTCATCCATCTCCCAAGCTGTTCTGCTTTCCTTGCAGGTATCGATCAGTCAGTCCATCCCAGGCCCATCCATGTGTCTCCCTCTTGTTAAAAAGCACTAGGTCACACACACACACACACACGCAGATAAAACGCACAGTAACAAGCAGGCTGTGTTGTGCATCTGTCCTCCAACCCAACATCCTCCACTTTCACATGTGTGGAGTTCAAAGAATCACAAGAAAAGGCACACAGCTGATTTATGGGGCCCGTCTCAGCCCTGTGTTGTTGGCCCAGGAGCTAATTACATTGTATTTAACAAGTTGTCAGTGGGAAGAGATAGAAGGACAAACAGAGATTGTGTGTAAGTGTGTAGGGATCAACAAGCACAATAGCATTTATGTGGTCTGTGGTTCATTCAAGGGTTGTTATCAGAACGTGTCCTGTTTTAATTGTGATTCTTGTACCTCAGAAATTGATTTATGAGTCTTATTTTTGACCAACAACTATGGCACAACAATAGCATTTTGGGTCCATGCAAAAGCCAGATACTCTTTATTTACCACTACAGTGCAAAGCATAAAATTAACAGTATTTTAAGGAATTAACAGCTCATAGAAATGCATTCTTTCACTCCTAATTTTGTGTATTTAGCCCTTAATTTGCTGGTAGCTAATCCGTAACTAATGTGAAACAAATGTCTTTTAGAGAGTTACACAGAGAGAGAGAGAGAGAGAGAGAGAGAGAGAGAGAGAGAGAAAGGGAGAGAGGTAGAAACAGAAAGACTTATGAACTTATAAACAGAATATAAATTGCATTTGTTTAATCCATGACAAAATATTGAACCTTAAAATATTTGATCAGTTATGTCAAATTTGGTAATATAACCAGATTCAAGAGATTTATTATTATTTTTTTTTAATAAGAGCAGATACTTACAGGCTTTTAATGTTATGTTATGTCATTTTATATAAAAATAACTCTTTTCTTTTACACCTGTACCACACAGAGTAAAATCTATGGTACCAAAGTGTCCAATATTGGCCCAACAGTTCCCTTTTAATTGCTTTCAGTTAAATGCCACTGACAAAACAAATGTATTAGCTAGATAGAGCATATGCTAATTTGTTTGACTAACTACTCATTTAAGCTATCAATCAGGCATTGCTCACTAATTATCAGTACCTCTCCCTAAAGTAAAGACATGTCGCTGATGGTAAACAGAAGCGACTCCTCAGTGGATAACCGATCCGATATCCCTATTTCCCTTAACAACGCCTTCCCAATTCAGCATCTCCCAAGAGTCCTATTCATTTTCTGCTCTACCTACAGCTGCACACCACCAGTCCAAATCCCCAAAGATCCAATCTTTGGAGCATGCAGAAAAAATTCCAGCACTGATAGAAATTCCCTTCCCCCCGCTGAGGGTGAGCCGCACCAACACACAGGCCTAATGTGTGTAGCATGTCTCTATCCTGTAGGCCAGTCCCCAGAGGGCCACTGCTGCAGTGGGAGGTGCCGAGGTACAGTGAATTGACATATTAAAAGACAGATTGGTACTAATGAAAGAAATTAGTCATATGGATATCAGGCAAAGAAAAGGTCAGTGGAGAAACTGTAAAATTGTATGGAAATTACGGAATGTCACGGTGAACTGGTAGATTAAGTAAGAAGGCATCTGGCACAATATGAATGTGCCAGCTATAACAATACAACATAGTGCTGAGCTCTGACACAAGTTATGATTTGAAGTACTTTGGAGTAAAGTTAATTGTAGCAAGATTTTCCAGGAAAAATGCAATATTTAAAATTTAAGATTTTGCCCCCTTATTGTACAATTGTGCTAGCCTGATTCATCAGTCAGTTTCACTTCATAGAAACCATCTGACCTGTGTCAGAATTCGTTTGCTCGACGGTAGGCAGGTACTTTTTTAAATTTAACCAATCGCTGCTATTTGAGATAAAATAAGATAATCCTTTATTGTCTCCCATGGGAGAAATGTATCTTGGGACAGGGGGTAACATGCTTTATCAAAAACAGGACAACACAACACAAAGCACCACATAAACAAACACCATAGAATAAAATAAATATGAGACCAAGTATGACCGCGAGTGATGCACCAACAGGACATTTAAATCATTCAATCATGTCATTTGGTCATTTGGTCATGACATATGAAATGCGCCGCTAACAGGGCTAACTGGTATATTAAGCTTTTCCCAAATCCCGTAGGAAAAAGGGCAATAACATCTTTTCCCTTGATAAAATTCACCAAACGTTCTCTTTGTTCTGGCTTTAAATCCTCGGTCTCGGGAATCGTTGTTAACACAAAATATATGGCTTTTCGCTGATTGGCTGGTGCCTGAACTCACACTTCCGGGGTTTTTGCAAACCGTCTAGTGTATTGGGATCCCTGACCTAGTCGCTGAAGAGAAATGAAATTGAGCAGAGGCACTAGGTGGAGCCAGCCTGTGCAGCTATAAGTATCAATATATGAATTTTGTTACTTGCATCTATAGATTTAAATCAGTGCTCTTTTAATGCTGGGAAATATGGCAAACATTTTTTTGATTTTTTTCCCCCTCACATCAATCAATCATGATTTGACTCCAAAGGCTATGCCACAGCTTACAGGAGCAATACCTGAGTAGCAAGACTTTAGAGGATAACGGCGATATCTTGGACATAAAAACTGATGTAATAAGACTATTTACCAGTTGTATTCAGCCCAGAAAGTATATGAATTTCTATTCATACAAAGCTGTTCTGTAGTTGCTTGAGGGATAAATAACAGCTAACACATATACACAATAACAAATTTGGATCAGTTTTATCTTATTTTGTTTTTGTTTAAATTAAGTAAATGCTGTTTTTAGTCTCTGCACTACTGCATATTATTTTCTGTAAAGAGCTGGAGATGGAGATAAAGTGTGGAAATGACATTATTCAAAGACAGATTGCAAGTATTGAAAGAAATTGCACATTAACTATGTAAAGCAAAGGTCAGGCATTCAGATGATCGTTAAAAAGTAGAAGTTATAAGGGCAGCCGTGGCACAGTGAGTAGAATGAGATGGAGGTGAGAAGTTGAGATCAGGTGAAGGCAGACATCTTGGACAAAGGAATTTTAAACTGTAGAGTGAGACATTATAATGAGAGTATTTGTATGCGCTCCACGCTTAGGCCAAAACAGTCACGGGATTTTCTGGCGATGCTCGACTACATCCATTGATCCCAAACACACATTCCCATTTCCATGCACACAGTGGACAATCCACTATCCTGGGCTAACATGTCACACTTTTCGAGCCCCTTTTTGCCAATTAAAGTGGAAGGTTTCAACATATTTTCTATAATGAGAGCCTGTGAGTGACAGCTGGTTAGTGGATGCACACAGCCTTTCTCTATCCAGTGACACCTGCACCATTAAACAAACACATTTTTACACTTACAGAGTTAATGCTCATAATAGACCAAAAGACACATGTGTTTATTTAGAACCAGACTTCAAAATGGCGTTTTTACTTGACAGTTAAGGGTCAGGAAAAGTAGGGCTGGTGCATTCCTAAATTTAAGAGTTACATCTTGAGCAGGGAACTTTGACAGATATATGGCAGCAAGCGCACCAGGGAGTGTCATTCTAAAGGACATATATAGCATTATCTTTCAACGCCCAAGGTGGGAGAATGCAGAGGTGGGGGAATTATAGAGAAAGGAACAGAGAAGAGAAGAGGGAGGTATCATGACTTAAACCATGTCATTATATTGGACGGCTGGGCAATACGTCAGACAGTGTGACATCCTGATAGTCTTGTGTTAGCCATAAATAATTTACACCTTCATTTTAAGCCTGCTATGTTTATTCATCAATTATTCATCCATATTAGGTGAGTGGTATTTATTTTCTGTCTGTCATGTTTCGCGGGTTCTGATTGCAAAGCTCATCACTGTATGGAGTCAAGATTGATTTAGTAAACACACAAGAATATGAGCAGATAAAACAGCAGACATAATTTAACTAGGGATATTGAAGAAGCAAACATTTCTGAATATGATTGCAAAGTAATAGCTTTCTTATTTCATGGGCTCATGGTGCCTGTCAATCCCAAGCCTAGCTAAATACAGAAAGACAGACAGAAAGGGCATCCAAAATAAAATGTTTGAAAATATAAAATAATACTTAATAGAAAGAATGACAATCCAGGTCATCGTTTGTGAGTCCCAGGCCAGGATAAGTGGAGAAGGGGGTTACATCAGGCAATTACTGCACTCTAGAGGGTAAATGGGCTATGCTGTGGTGGAAGAAACTATAATTAAAGGTGCATTAAACCTGCCTATTGTCATGGTGACAAGCAGATGATGCCACCAAGTTGAGTTACAGATCAGATTTGTGGAGAGATGAAATGGCTCACAGGTATTTTTGTAGCACCTTTTTGTAACACCTTAAAGTGAATAAAATGAAAGATAGATGAGCTTAATGGTATACTTGGGAACATCCAAGCAAAGCAATAACATATACAGGGAGAACACATGTAACAGACCCTCCACTAGACAATACATAGTGCACATTTGAAAGGGACCAGTGTGTATAGAAACATCCATTCAGAAAACACCTCATAGCTCTCATTCAATTTAGAGCCACATTTTTGCGAATGCTGCAATGAAGATTGAGTCAATACATAAGAAGAATAAGCACAAACTAAGTAAAGTGTGTCCAATATTAATGCAAGCATGTGATCTGTACCTGGCAAAAAAAGAGGCAGCTGCAGAGGTGGTGGAGGAGGTGGAGGTGTGGGAGGGGGAGTTTGTGTGCGGAGAGGAGCTGGTGTGAGAAGGAGAGCTGGTGTTGGAGCGGCTTTCACACCCGTCTTCTCTGGAGGCCTCGGAAAGCACCTGGGAAATCTGAGAGAGAGAGATGGAATATTATAGCACAGGAGTTTTACAGCTATACAACACCAGCAGAGGAATTCTGTATGTGTAGGTTTCAGCTACAGAAATGTCACAATATCAACTTTAAGTGTAGAAGAAACATCACAAGCATACACAATTATTGATACCATAACTAAACAACAGTGATTCACTTTCATTCACAATGTCTCATAGATGACCACAATGTGACCACCTTTATGATCAAGTTAATGTGACACAAATAGATTAAAAACATTTAGGTTTACTTTTTAGAGTATAGGTCATGTATAGATGTGACCTGGATCATGATTATCGATTAACCAAATAATCTTGACATAGTTCTAGCAATCTACTGTCTTCATTCAGTCATCCCATTTAGAATTCTATTAAACTGATTTATATTTATCTCAGTTATCTCCCATCTTATTGAAAACTATTTACATGTCATGTGATTGTATTATGGACGGCAAACGACAAGGTCAAAATAGCAGTGAATAAATATGGACCTCGTTGGAATTCAATGTCCTCATTCGAGTGTCCCACATCAAATTTGGATTTGAGCACAAATTGATTTGCATATTATTTGGCATAGATTTTAAAGCAACTGTTTGCATTTGTCCTGGCATGGGACCAACACAAAAGGCATACTGGCACTATATTAACCCCTTAAGAATCTTTGGCTATTGTATGTAATATATACTTCCAGTACAGTATAGAATGAAGTTACCCTTATTTTCAATTTCACTATCTGAGATGCACGTACTAAGATAAAAGTCAGAGGGTTAATATGTCTAGATGTATAGTGCATAGTAAAGGTCTTATATGTGTCTGTATCTGAGGCACTCCAAAACTGGATATGGATTATTGATTATAGTTCTTTATAGGCTGCCAGAGGCCAGACACTGCAGCTCCTAAATCACAGCCCAGTGCTGCTATAAAGCTCTGATGTGAGTCTGTACATGTCCCTGCATATGTCTGTTGTGTCCGTGTGTGCGTCCGTGTGCATGCGGGGCGACCCCTCTGCACCTGTACGTGAGGGTGTGTAAATCACTTTGTTGAGCGCATATTTACAGCTGGGGGCTCCGGGGGTCCAGGGCACGCACTCGGTGCCTTGATAGATTACCCACTGGAAATGAGATGCCTCTATATGGTTTATGGGCCATATTCCCTCTGCATTTACATCCATTCTTATTCAATGGAGTGCACCAGTGTAGTGCCTAAACACCTGAACAATTGTTAAATATTTGTTCTCAAAGCTATGTAAACAAAAACAATTCCACTGTGGGTTATTTGGCAAACTAATAACTAAACAGTAGAGGAAATTTTGCATTTTCAATATAAAGCAATTCTAAAAGTAAAGTGGAATGTGTCAAATTTTGATGAACTAAACCTTTTTATACATGGCATTGCACAAACATTGTTATGTGTTTACAATATTCCAACATTTGCTACTCTGTCTTGGAAATAAACCAGGTGGCCAATGATTAGATCGCCTATCTACACTGTGCAGTCTCGAAACAAGAGACCCACTGTTGTGAATCTAATGCATCCCACTCACTATGCTATCTACAATTTGCACTATACTATCTCCAGATATCTCCATAAATTATGTGAAATATCATTAGATGAAACTTTAATGCTCCCGGTGGGGAGATTAGGTCATAGCAGCAGGACAGACAATGGCTTAGGTAATAGCAAGACAAATGTGGCGTAGAGAGAAGAGGAGGAGAAAGTGAAAGCACAGCATTAGTTCTCATGTGGGACACGTACTGTAGTCTGAAGACTAGGGCTGCTGCTGTCTGACTGTGATGAATTCAATTTCAGATTTCCCCAGAAACACACAGAACTGAACTTTCACACAAGATACATGGATTCACAATTTCACAAACAGAACACCTATTTCCAGAGCTCCTCCAAAAAGGTAAATGCTAACATATTCATCTTCATTTCAACAAACACCATCTAATGACATCCTCCCTTTTCGTCTCACTTACATCCATGAATAATTTCAATTGAACCTATGCATAAAACAAAGCTGTACTAGACCAAGGTGGAGATACCTAACATGCATGTCCCTCTTTCTCTCTCTCATTCTGTGTGTGTGGTCTGTGTGTGTTATCATGAGAATAGTGGAGATCCAATCTGTAAAACAATCTAACTGCTTACTCCAGCACAATGGGACCAGGCAGAGACACACAGAAGGAGAGAGGGCATTTATCATGAAAGCACTATACTTTGTACAAACAAGTATCCAATACCACCATTACACCAAAGAGATGGAGAAAGAATAGTGGGACACTTTATACTTATTGGAAGCTATAGGCGCTCAATGTTTAAAGATTCTTGTAACATGATTTCAATTCAATATCTCTCTCCTCTGCAACCTCTCCAGTGCTATTCTTAAATCCTGTTTTTTTTTTTTTTTTTAATACTTTCGAGGGGAGAATGGGTGAATTTGTAGTAAATATAAAACATGGATAGTGTCACCTGCTGAGCAGCTGACCGAGCAAAAAATTTAATGTGAGCTATAACTTTACACAATGGAGCCCTTCTGTCTCCCTTGTCATTGCCTTTTAATCTGTATCTTTTTTATCTAGCATCATTATGTTATGCTGTATAAAGGTCAGGTTTTAATTATTATCTCATTTGGTGTGATTTGTTGTCATCTTAAGATGGCTATTAAAATTAACACATAATTAAAACATCCAAGGACACCAGTGTTTTTGAAAGTGTCATAAACCCATTGACCCAGGTCATGTCATGTCGGCATCGTCCTACATGTGTCATTGTGGAAGTATGTTTTACAAGAACATCTAAAAGTCAACCAAATTACTATTATTAAATATTGAAAATGGTACAAATTAATTTTCCTTTATTGGCTATATACATTTGACCTACATAAGTCTTAATTTTCTGTTTCAAAATCTATTTTTAGCAACACTCTGCTCCTATCTGGTGCCCCATGAGAGAGTCTATATGAAAGTGATTTATTATGGTGCTATGTTTCTCTATTGTTGCTGAAAAATCACTACTGTCAAAGTCAACAGCAGAAACACCCCTTTTACAGAATACAAAATATTGAAAAAATGATTTGACAAAAGACTAGTTTAAAATGACAAAGCAGAGTTTTCTTCCGTCAAAGAGCAGCTGCAAAACATGCTACTAAAACATAATTTCCCAAGGAAAATCCTCAACAGTTTCTTTTCTTAACAATAACTGTTATTGTTTAGTGTTTATCAGAATTCAACCAAGCGTGTATTTTTTGGAAGAAAATACAAGCCATGATCATATGTCTACACGATCTGACTGCTATTACATGCTTCAATTAAATAGAGAGTATACAATAATGATTTGAATGATGATTTGTAGATGGGCAGTATATTGGTTTCTGTTGGGAAGTAACTGAATACATGTACCTAAATAAGTCTATTCTGGTACAGTTACTGTTTCATTTGGTGGAATTCAGAATACAGTTACTTTTCTAAAATATAAAGAACCCATGGCAGTACTTGATCTCTCATTAATGGGGGAAAAAAACAACAACAAAAAAACAGAAAACACTACTCTTGTGGTGAGTGCATTCAGTCATTTTTCCTTCTCCAATGAGTGACAAGAAATTCATAACAAGCAGCGAAAGCTATTTTTAAAACTATATTATGTTTTCACACTATAATTTAAATGCCACTCGGTGTAAGTATTCAGAAGTACACAGAATACAGTACTCTGATTGGCCCATGTGTCATAATGTATTCTTCTCATCACTGATTGGTTCTGATATCGGTATCAGTGAAAATAATTTGCTCAGATATTTTTACATCAAGGGATAGTCAATTCATTATTTTACTATAACTTAACATCAGTTTGTGTGCTGTGCTATGGATCTTAATATCGGTATCGGCACATCGGTTATTGAGTACAGCATATCATATTGTCTTATAAAATCCATATCAGACCATGATTTGATGCTGATATCTGCAGGAATAGGAACAAGTCATTTCTCCTCCGTAATGGGGGAGGCTATAGTGAAAAATCTGCCTCATAAGACACATAGAAATAAAGCATAAGTACAGGAGGAGCAGGGGAGTACAGGACTGAGGGAGTACTGGGGCTATGTGACATAGTATCCCAGGAGTCCTAATTATTACTGTATGAATTATTACATGTATAGAGCATGTGTGTACAGAGAGGTACTGATACGCACACACAGCCTTCAGGTCCCTCACTCGCCTCCGGACCACCATCACCCCAGGCACTTCACCACCCTCTATCCTCCGGTTTTATACTGCTCCCATTGTCTCTACTGTAACAAGTTAGCAACTGAAGCGACTCCTTCTTGCTGCAATATTATTTGAGCTTTGCTAAAGTCAGATACATGATGAATTTGAGAATTTTTCATATTTTTAAGAGCTCTAATGATGAACACTAAATAGGTTCAGTCAGTGTCACTGGATTTACAGTTAGAGCAGACTCCCAATGAGGGTTACATCATATTCCATCCAAATGACACACTGTTGCTGCATTGTTGCTGCTATTTTGACAGAATACTTCTATCTCCAATGTCCTTTCTATGTGAATAAAAAATATTACATTAGGTTTACTTAAATATTTTGCTGTAAATCACCAACACTCTTATATATGACTTAAAATACATAGTACATTTATAAGAACTAATCATTTGTTGTGGGTCAGTGGGAAGTGGATTTATAATGACCTTATAATTAGAAAATGTGAGAAATACTAATTTAGTGTTTACAGTGGATGTGTATGTGGCTCACCTGATATGGGTAGAGTGTGACTCCTCCATTACTTCGGTTCAGAAGCTGGTGGGCCTGTGGAACTGCATTACTTCCATTATTACTGCTATTACCACTGTTGGATCCAGAGCTATTTACTCCAGTCTGCTGCTGCTGGAGGCTGGCTGCCTTCCCTAAACTGGGTGAAGCACTCCTTCTCTCTCCTCCACTGAGGCCGAGTGAACTTGGCTTTGACCCAAGCCTGGTCCCTGGACCTGGAGAGTTCAGTCCCACAGGAGGACTGCAGGAACGCCCATGAATGGGGCTTGGTGTTGGTGTATGATTAGGACTTGGGGAGGGGGACTGAGAAGAAGCATACGAAGATCCAGCAACAGATGAAACAGAAGATGGGAAAAAAGCCGGTCCTCCTGAAGATCGTCCAGTGAGAGCCGGAGGTGACGAGGTGGGTGACAGATCCCACTGGTCGAGGGAAAGGACAAGACGCACTGCTTCCTGTTTAAGCTGGGTCAGGTGAGTCGCACACACATCACAACGGCTATCTCGCTCGTTCCACGCCCGCCGAGAACTGTTGGGCACCTGCAGTTTGTCATGGAGCAGCAGCGAGAATGAGGGATCCTGAAAGAGACAAAACACAACAGGTCAGAAATTCACATTAATATGAGACCAACATTTAAGGTATAACATTAGGACTGACAGGTAATGTTAATATGACTATGTCTTCAATGTAGGACCTGCTTGTAGGTGGTGCATTTTCTCTTGTTTTAAATCTCTTAAGAAAATACTTTTAATGTGCTAAAATGTGCCCATAAATGTCTTGATGAGATTCAAGTGTGGTTTTAGAAGTTTAAACTGCAGATGATATACTCTATATTTAAAATGTGCTTATCTCCAAAACACCAACTGTAATATTATCTAGCCAGCTATCGCTATACAACATTTTTTTCTTGTTTGAGCAGATATGAGTGGGTTGGACAGAAGCCACATTATTATTATTATTATTATAGGGCTAAATAAAACTGCACACTGTGTAGGAGGCTTCCTGCATGCAGTGGATATTACCCATCAGAAGTGGTTCACAACGGAACCAACTGGACTGTGTGGGTCAATTCTGCAGAAAGCCAATATAGCTCAGAGGTGGTCAATGTTATTCTGACTTAGTACTTAAAAGGTCATCTCCCTTTGCAAGAAGCAAACATCTCAGGCAAAGAAATAACATCTCCACTGAGACATTTAGCTTCACCAAAAAAGTTATACAGCCCCACTTTAAATAAATGGCTGGAGTGTCTGATTGCCCATTTTGTATTCACAGAGGGAAACACTTGAGAAAATGTTTGTAGGTGACATGTGAAACCTGTAGTAGAAAAAAGATCACAGATATTGTAAGTAAGTCATGACTGTGAGTATTTATAGAAAGCACCAGGAATACAGAGTGTAGCCGCAGGGTTTGATTTGTAAAGATCCACAGAGGAGCAAACTCAAGTACACACACCTCCTCAGGCACTAAAGTTTAAAAGAGCCAGGGACATGGAGGCTGCAGACATCAGACATCAGAGGTATACAATACTACAATGAACAATGAGGTATACAGAACTATAATGGTATACAGTATCACAATGAACAAGTCACCTTATCTTTCTGTTTGTGTTCCAAAACCAATACAATACTGTACAACAACTCCATGTTTTACTTTAACAGTTAAACCAAATCAGATTTCATAATTTTGGAATTCACACCTTAATCATAAAATAAAGCTACTGTATATATACATTTCGCTTTAGAACATGATTTGCAAAGAAATAGCCAGTGAATATAAGTAAGATTAGATAGGTTACATTTCCCCTTAGCTGGGGTCTAAGCAATAATCACATCTTTGTTCCTGCAATGATTGATTTAATAGCAGTTTAAAGTTTAATACCAAATCAACTTTCACAGAACACAAATGTATGCACTGAGAATACTTTCCATGTGTGCTTAAACAAGAAGAAGTGTGAATCATTAGTTATACAGTAACATAAAAGTGAGAAGATTCAAATAATTTTACTGTGTAAGTGAAGTCCAACAAAGGGAGGAGCAAGATATCCTGACAGAAATATGCCTGCCACCAATTGTCCTACACTGGTCTGTTGATTTTGGGTCAACAGCTCCATGTGTAGAACAATTATAGTGTGGCTTTAGGGGCAGCATGGAGGTATTTGTCCAATTTGTTTGTGCACAAAACCAAAGCGGTTTGTTTTGCGTGACTGTGTAAGCACTCGGAGCATGTCTGAGTTTCCACAGCTAATTGGAGCCACTCGCACAGACCACAGCCACTGTAAATGCCTTGCTATTAGTCACTACAGCTCAAAATATCTAGTAGAGTTCATTAAAAATCAATTAGGATTTGATGCTCATTTTAAATACCTTCGCTAACAGTAACAAGAATTTAGCATAAATTGTATAACAGGCTACATATAAATCATGAGACTAAAAATAGGAAATAGGAGTGCACAAGATGTATAGAAAAATACTGAGGATTTCTTTGTGTCCATTCAAATTCCTCCAAACATCTGTGGTAGGTGTTCGTGCTGCTGTTAACAGTAATTATTCTTTCGACTCTTTTTACTGAAGTTTCACAAACCTAACATTAGTCAGTAATTGTGGCTATTTCAACATACTTTTCCTTTCCAGCTATTTTAACAAGTTTGAAATAATGACAGTGTTTTGTTTCCCATTCAACTTGACCCTGTATTCTCAGGAGTTCATTGAATTGCATTCATTCATAATATCTTGTTTCTTTTATATTTGCCAGATTACAATAAAATAAGAACTTTGTAAGCTTTTTAAAAATTTATTCACTCCTCAGTCACACTTTGTTGGGGTAAGATTCTCTAGAGCCACATCTGCCCTGGGGCTGACTTTCACAGATGTACTTGTCGCCATCCTGAACAACTCTATGCCTGTTATGCTGGTAGTGACTTTCCAAAGACACTTTGGATTATTGGGTAAAATGGGTAAACTGGTAAAATGTATATTACATACAGAAAATAGAACACACCCTCCGGTCCCCCTTCTTATACAGAGGGACCACCACCCCGGTTTGCCAGTCCAGAGGTACTGTCCCCAACCGCCACGCGATGTTGAAGAGGCATGTCAGCCAAGACAGCCCCACAACATCCAGAGACTTAAGATACTCATGACGGATCTCATCAACCCCCGGAGCCTTGCCACCAAGGAGCTTGCCAACCACCTCAGTGACTTCAGCCAGGATGATGGATGAGTCCGCCTCCGAGTCCCCAGTCTCGGCTTTCTCCTCGGAAGACGTGACGGTGGGATTGAGGAGATTGAGGAGTATTCCTTCCACTGCGTGACAACGTTCCCAGTCGAGGTCAAGAGCTCTCCCCCCGCGCTGTAAATAGTGTTGGTGAAGAACTGCTTCCCCCTCCTGAGGCGCCGGATGAGTTTTTGCCTCTGCGACCACATGGGCTGCAGTGCGCTTGGCCTGCCAGTACCCATCAGCTGCCTCAGGAGTCCCACGAGCCAACAAGGACCGATAGGACTCCTTCTTCAGCTTGACAGCATCCCTTACTTCCGGTGTCCACCACCGGGTTTGGGGATTGCCACCGCAACAGCCACCACAGACTTTACGTCCACAGCTACGAGCGGCCGCATCAACAATAGAGGCCAAGAATGAAGCCCACTCGGACTCCATATCTCCAGCCTCCCCCGGAATCTGGGAGAAGTCCTCCCGGAGGTGTGAGTTGAAGGCCCTCTGACAGAGGGCTCCGCCAGACGTTCCCAACAGACCCTCACTGCACGCCGGAGGTCAGATGACATGACTACAAAGTCGATCTATCGACCTCCGGCCTAGGGTGTCCAGGTGCCATGTGCACTGATGGACACCCTTGTGCTCGAACATGGTGTTTGTTAAGGACAAACTGTGTCTAGCACAGAAGTCCAGTAACAGAACACCGCTCGGGTTCAGATCAGGGAGGCCATTCCTCCCAATCACCCCTTTCCAAGTGTCACTGTCGTTGCCCACATGGGCTTTGAAGTCCCCCAGTAGAACAACCGAGTCCCCGGTTGGTGCACTGTCTAGTATCCCTCCCAAGGACTCCAAGAAGGCCGGGTACTCTGCACTGCTGTTCGGCCCATAGGCTGACATCACAGTGAGAGACCTGTCCCCGAACCCGAAGGCGCAGGGACGCGACCCTCTCGTTCACTGGGGTGAACTCCAACACACGGCAGCTGAGCTGTGGGGCAATGAGCAGGCCCACACCAGCCCGCCGTTGCTCCCCGCGGCCAACGCCAGAGAAATGGAGAGGCCAGCCCCTCTCAAGGAGTTGGGTTCCAGAGCCCAAACTGTGCGTGGAGGTGAGGCCGACTATATCTAGTCGGTAACGCTCAACCTCCCGCACAAGCTCAGGCTCCTTCCCCCCCAGCGAGGTGACATTTCATGTCCCCAGAGCTAGTCTCCATGTCCGGAGATGTAGTCGCCGAGGCCCCAGCCGTCGACTGCCACCCAGATCTCTCTGCACCGGCCCCATATGGATCCTCCCGTGGGTGGTGGGCCCACGTGAGGACGTCACTCCTTCGGGCTAAACCCGGCTGAGCCCCGTCTCTCGTCCCTGTCTATATCTCTCGGTTGGCCTGGGAACACCTTGAGGTCCCCCTGGAGGAGCTGGAGGACATGTCTGGGGTGAAGGAAGTCTGGGAGTCCCTGCTTAGACTGCTGCCCCCGCGACCCGGCCCCGGATAAGCGGAAGAAAATGGATGGATGGAGAAAATAGAACACTTATATAGCTTTACTGTTCTGTGCTCTAGTTTTTCCCCAAAGAATCTATGTATGTGTACCTTGTAATATCATTACATTAAATTGAAATGAAACATACATTATAATCAACCTCTATGCTGATTGTTAACTGTGATAAATGTCACCACCTCTCTAGTGCATTGCAAACGGCGTCATTACAGTCTGTAGTAACAAGGATAATGTAAACCTTTACACAGCTCTTTTCTGAAGACATTCTGTCCTCCAGTAGACCATAGAGCAGCTTATTTAAATATCTCAATACATCAGGCCTGAGGGAGCCGGAGTATGTACAGTATTAATCAAATTGATGTCTGGGCTCTTTGCCTCTGTGAAGCTTAATCAATACATGAGTTATGGAGATGCGCTGTGTGAATCTGCGTGTGTATATGTCCAATCAATACTGAGGTGATGGGCACAGGTTATCTCTGGACGGATATAGACTGACTGACTGACAGGCAGACTTTACATCACAGGACTTTTTCTAATGCTCATAGGTTCAATCAAAGCTCCTCAGTCAAAATGTTTTTTTTTTCTTCTTCTTCTTTCCATGTGATACATAATTAATGTCTTCAAGGTACAGATTGGGCATAGTTGTCCTTTACATTTATAAATGTTAAACACAGGTGATTTTAGATTAGCAAGATAAGGTTTAGCTGTGGTCTCTTATTAATTTACTGCATAGATGAGGAAAAAGTCTGAGGAAAACCCGACTTAACCTGCCACTTGAACCCTACAATAAATAAAAGCCCTGTTACTTACATTTACTCAATGAAGTTCCTGTATTTGGAGTGAAAAGTTATGTGGACATGTGCAGGGCTCTCACAAA